GGGGGATAAAAAAATATATATAGGCTCCTAGAAAGTAAGTATTCTGTGATGAGAAAAATGAGATAAATGCTGAAAGCCATCATGCAGTCTAGGAAACGGGATAGCAAATAGATCAAAATCCCCTTGTCATAGGGAAATGTTATGATTATTTCTCTGTTTTGAGATGTAGACGATTTAGCCACTTACATTCTCTCCACAAAAATGTAAGCACTGCACTTTTTTTTGGTAAACAGCATTCACAACTTAAGCTGGTCCAACAGCTGATTTATTGGAAAGCTATTCAGGAGTAGAAGGAAGGGACGGATGTTGGTTACATCTTGCACGCTGTTTACCTCACTTCAGGCATACCTCATTTTTGTATTTCCTGTTTCATTGCACAGACTTTATTTATAAATGGCTAAGTTTAAGTAGGCAACAGAATTGTTTATGATCCAGTAATGACTATAACAACAACAACAACAAAAGAGTCTGTTTTGGCCTGATCATATCATAGTAAGATGTGTAAGTACATGCAGAACCTCACCCCTGGTTTGAGTAGTGTCTAAAAGTTACCACATTTTTTTTTCCAGTTTATTCTGTGACTTCAAAAAAAAGCAATTAATTGCTCTTCTTCCAGAGACCACAAGTGGCCAGGCACCTTATCTACTCCTCTGACCTGTACTGTGCTAGATCCTGCTACCAGCTGAGGACTGTCCCCATGAATTACATTTGGTTACAAAATCCTGTATTGGTGAGTGGGGGGGGGTATTGCCTCATTTAGCAGCTGTATTATTATGTGCACATTGCCTCTATCGTTACACTTTTGCATTACTAACTAACTTGTTTGCCAGTATTAGTTTCCTTAGCAAAAAAAAAAAAAAAAGTCTCAGTAGCCTTTTCACTTTCCTGTTAGCTATGAGCGGATCAGAGAGCATAAAACAATATGATCCAAAATAGTAATTCTCCATGTTTTGATTACTTTGTCAGATACAGGGCAGTGAAACGGAAGTTTGCAGCTACAGCTGTAGATTTAGGTCAGAACAGAAAGGACTTTTGTAGTTCTGCTTGTCCAGAATTGTTTCTAGAATAAAATGCCATCGCCATCTGTTGTGTTCTGCGTATCTTGCACATTAAAAACTTGCTTACCTAATTCAGTCACAAGCCTGTCTCATTTTAGTGACAGCAGAACGCATGGGATAAGTGTTAGAACTATCATGATGCATTTTTTTTTTTCCCCACATAAAATTATATTAATACTTAACATTCCTTTTTTTTTTTTTTTTTTTAAAGTTTATTGTTTGACTTAACTCTGGCATTGTATAGCTTGGGTAGGCGACGTACTGTGAGGCACTACTATAGCACAAAAGCATTTATCAGCTCTGCTGGTCATCCAGATGTGTAAGAAATGTCTGGATTTTGTTTTACAAGATGGGCTTTTTCTTTGACGTTTAAATAGCTTAGCATCTAGATTGCCCATCCTTAAATGACTTTTGGAAAATTAGACCATCATCTCAAACACAGATTATCTGAGTGTCTCAGGAAATGCAGTGTAAGGCTGGGTTTGACCTGCAGCGACAACCAACAGTCCAGGGGCTTGTCCAGGTTTTACCTCAAGCACCAGAAATTACATGATGTAAGAACAGTCTCGAGGGCTGTTCTGCCCCTCAAGAGGCATGTGTCTAACTTAGAGAATTATTCATTCCTGTCCTCGACAGTAATTTTCTGTTCCTGCACATAATTAATGGTTTTACAAGCAGGGGCACATGAAGAGCATGGGTGGAATCAATTTATTGCACTTCTCCAGAATTACAGTGAAATAACTCTTATGTCAGTAATTTTTATTTTGCATTTCTTCAGTGGCAGATCCAGCAAGAAAACAGTTGGTCAGGGTAGGCAGAGAACAAGTTGTACAGTTCTGAGCAAAACAGAGGTAACATCAAAGCTAATGGGCTGAAGCAAAGTAGTTCTACCTCAGTGTATCACTGCATGGGTTATAGGGTTTTTGAAATACTACCTGCATTGCTGATGGGTTATTTAATCTTTATTAGAGAGCAAAGGTGAACAACTTTTTGTTAAGACTTGAGCAGAGAGGCATGAAAAAGCATTATCTGCCCTGAATTGTATTGGCTGTGTGCTAGAGACAGCGGGTGGGAGGGGAAAAAAACTCTGTTACTGTCTCTCATCAGTGAATTTTTTTCTTCCCCAGCTTCTGACGTTTGAAGACTGAATCTCCTTTCATTGGAGGAAGTACGACTGCTGCAGCAATGAAACCAAGCTAAGCGTGGTAAGCATACTGTCTTTGTACGGCTCAGAAGCTGAAGAACTTTGCAGAATTTGATAAATGGAACTACTGTGCTGTCTTGTCTGCTTACGGCTTGTGTTTCGGTTCCTGAGAATTTGAGCAAAAGCTGGAGACTTGCACTTAATTCTCCACATCCTCTGTAAACTATTTTTGAGTATGGCTCCTGGAATCTGAAAGTTGTATTTATTCACTGAGTAATAATGTTAGTAGTGCCAATAGCAATAGGAAGTCCACAGTAAGAGTTCTGAAATTTTATAAAAATAGTTGGGTTACAGCAATAAATAACATCATTTGTGCTTTCACAGACCCAAAGTTCTGATTCAATTTGTTTTGGAATGCTAAATGATGCAATGTGCTTCTTTCAACTATGTCTGTACACCACTCCTTGTAACGTACCCTTAACAGAAAACTTGGCCTCGTCCACAGAGGAGTGAGCAACTTCAGCCACCGTACTCAAGAGGAGCACGATACCAGGAACAGTACCATAACTTCCTGGAGTAGTCCACGGTACTCACATACATGTAGGCTAGTGGGTACACTTTTCAAAAGTTTCAATAATGTTCTGTTTAATCATTATCAACAGTAAAAACACACAGATTAAGCACAGTCCAAACAAAATAAACACACAAATTGGATCTATTATCTACTGTGGCGCCCTGCATTCAGGTAACTCAAAGAGTATACTATCAAACTACCTCTCAGGTGTTTGGACATCAGCCCCTTATATAATTGTTAGGAAACTTAAGTATTCAAACCATTCTCCTGTAAATTCTCAAGAAAGAGCTGTGAAATACTTTTTATTTTCTTCCCCCACCTACTTACCATCATTAGCAGCTAGATATTTGCTGCATTAAAAAAGAATTTTACAGGGGAGAGAAGCAGGGAGTCTTGGTAGCAGAGTCCAACAGGACTGACATGTTAAGAGCACTGTTGAGCCAATGCACTTGTTGAATTCTACATTTTACTTAAAAATTACACAGAGAAATACACAAAAGTGATGCATTGAATCAGTTTCATTTGCGTAATGGACCTCCCTGGATTTTGATTTCCAGTCACAGACCATACACACATCTACTGATACCACGTTTTCTCCTTACACAATAATCCTTTGCCTTTCACTTTACAGGGAATTGGTTTAATTCTAACCTTCGGTTTAAAAATATTCCTGTATGCCTTTATTGAAAGATATTAAAAGGTAAACTAAGTCGAAAGTAAAGCTATAGTGGGCTCCTTACTTTGAGTCAAAGGTTTACAAAGTAACACTTTTAGAACCTAGGTTACTCTGCAGCTTTAGGAAAGCTGTATATTCACACCTGAACCTTGCACAGCGCAATGCTGCAGTGCCTGGAGGCATTTGTTCAGCACAGTTGCTGAACTATCTCCACAGAGCAAACATGAAAATGAGATTTCCTAGTTGCTGTGAATAAAGGTATGTAAGTACATTCATTCCTCAGTCTTTAGCCTGGTTGAAGTTGATGAGACAAATACTGACTTGATGTACAACATTTGAAAAAGCATGTTATTTTTATTATTTCAAAAAGTTTAATTTTGAAGAGGTTGTCATGAAGACAAATGATGCAGATTTCCTCTCCCCCCACCCTCCTGGCCTTTCCAATGCTAGCAGAATTCCACACTAGCCAGCCAACTACATACACTTACTTAATCTGAATGAAGGGAAAAACTGAGGTTAAAGATTTCCAAAGCTGCTCACTTGAACTATTTTAAAAACAACTTAGAAGCAGGGGCCTTCACAGGTGCAGACTTTGCTAGGTTTGAGTGCTGTATTCAGAACAAAATCAGCTTCTTGTTTTCTAATATTTTGAAAATGTAATTCGATAAGTGAATCCTCACTGCAGTATTTAACAAAATGCCCTTTTTTTGTTAAAAACAAGGATGACATTTCAGTGGAATACTAGGTATATGTGCATTTAGTGGTTTAAGGAAAAAAACCAAACAACCCCAAACAATGCACCCTAATCACAGTGTTAAAGCTCCGAACTCCAGGACAGCTGTACTCCAACAGCTGCAATTAACTGTTAATTTTATTTTATTTTATTATTTAAATGTTTTATCTACATTGCTGCACTGTGAAAAATCAGCTTTCTCAAGAAATACAAAGAGAGAGAATGGCTAGTTTCAGGTAGTGCAGTAAGACTCAGTATAGCTTCTTTAATTTCTTTACACAGTAAATAAGACTTCTATTTATACCAACACCCTAGTCTGTACTTTCTTATTTACAGGAAATACTTTTACATATATACATGTTAGCAAAATACAGGGCTTCTCCCAGAACCAAATGCACTTCAGCTATATCTTTGTTATACAACTAATGCTTTTTTTTTTTTTTTTAAAAAAAAAAGGTCAGAAAGCCCACCTCACTTGTTTTCTTATGCACAATGATTCCATGTAGCTAAATACTAAAATCATATTTATTTCCTTCCCATGTAGTACTTTCTCTAGTTACAGAACACCATTGGCTCCAGACCGATACTTGCAATTCACTCTGGCAGCAAGGAAGAGGTTTCAAGAGTCCAGCTCTAGTTGTTCTTGATTTTCACTGAGTCTTAACATAAGCTGTTGTTCATAATAAAGGCTCTTTGCGTAGTTTATTTCTTGAGATAGCTTCACTGCAAGAGCTTCAGATTTCACTTTCACCTGCAAAAAGAAAGGTGATTTTTCTTAGTGTGGTATTGCTGTTGTCTAAAGCAGAATGTATTTATTCACTAACTGAAGGGGTTAGGTTTAAGGTCTCCTGTAAGGAACAGAAGTGTTCTCAGAGCTGAGGCTGAAGTAAGGAAGAAGTGAGAGAGGGAGAGACAGGTAAATAGGTATTTTAGGATGAGAGCAGAAACATCTTGCAATATTTGAAGTTATTTATTTCCTTTGCTTCCCCCTCCTACCTTTTATCTGGCTTGTCTGTTTGGAATGTAAACTGACTTGGGTCAGGGGTGAGCTTGTAACCTTGCCTGTGAAATAGACCCCTGAGCAACTACTGTAATGAAGCAAAACCCCCCTGTAATGGGTTTTAGAAGTGAGAGTTCTGATTCACTTCTGCATGCATGACATAAATGCTCTTTCCAATCTTAGATACTTTACAGTAAAAAAAAATACTATATATAGGAGGAGAAGACTAAATAGACAGCACAGCACTTAAGTTTCACATATGTATTATAAAGTTAAAAGCCTTTCTCAGGTAAATACACATTTCCTACTATAACTTTTCTGCCTGCAGGAATATTGTAGATTTTGCCTTCCGCTTTCCTCAGGAGTCTTGGGAGCAAGTTCTGCTGTCACCTAAACCTTTTTGGCAGCAGCTATTTTCACTGCCCACAGAACAAAGTTTTCATTGCTATGCAGCACAGGAAACCAAAACACTAATGACTACAAACACTTCCAGCACCAGTACACACATAAAGGGGAAAAGAAACCCCTGCATGAATGAAACAAGACGTGCTAGATTCTTACCATTGGTTTTTTCTGTGATGGGCCTGGCATTGCTACACCACTACTTGTATTAACAGCTTTCTTTGTCAGCTGTATATACACGTTCCTGTGGTCTTTTGAAACAAGGCAGTGGTAGAGATCATCGTACTTGACTTCTAGGAAGATGGCCTCGCGGTCTGTGTAATCACCACTCTTGAGGAAATAAACAGCTTTAGACGAAATGAGAACACAATAGCTGTCTATGTTCTCCACTGCTATGAAGCTGCAAAGAAAAAAAAATTACTCACTTGAAGCTCAAGAAATAGTAAATGTAAATGTCTTCACCTGTTAAGTTTTGAGTGACCTTTAGAAGTCTTTCAGAAAAATCAATAGCGTAACATTTTGTACAATTCATCTGTATTTAATTTAAACTGTTCTGAAAATCAAGCTGATGAAGTACTCTCTCACCCAGTTAAAAAAGATCATGCTGTAAATCAAATATTAGCACTAAATGCCTAGTTTCTGGCTTTGGACATTAAAAGGGCATATAAAAATATCCTGTAACAAGGCTCAAGAAGAGTAATTTCCTTGCACAGGAACACTGCAAGTCCTAATACTGACGTTTAATTGTAAGTTCAGTTCCATTGCTGCTACGTGAAAGGTTCGCAGACATTTATGACAAGAGCATTATCCTGCTACACATTGTAAACCTACCATGCTTCCTTTTACCACACACCTCCCTTGCCTTTGAAAACAAAAAACAAGTTTAACCTGCTGCCTGGATCAGTAGCTAGAAAAGAGAAATTAGCTGTTTAACACTGGGGTGAAAGGTTAAGCAGCAAGCAGGTTTCCCCAGAGAGATTAGTCTGAGTGATGAATAGTGGAGGTAGAAAAGAGTGAATTAAGAATATCGAGAATTATGATGGCTGAAAAGGTTGGTGTGTAAAAAAATAGCAGTAAGGAATGCAAAAGTGAAATATCTATTTCATACACAAACGCTTCTCCCTCACATCTGATTTACTACCGAAATGAACCTCATCAGTGGGGTTTTTAAAATGCTGAAAAATTCAGAAAATTAAATGTGAATACATAACTAAGAGTGTTAAATGGGAGTAATAATGCTCTGTCAACAACCTGTAACAGTAGAAGCCTATCTGTAAAACTAAGATTCTCATCCTATCAGGGAGGTTCAAAATTACTATTTTCCGAACTGTTGCTTGTACAAATCTGCTGCTGTTCTAACACATTCTGCAAAATACTCCACTGTCTTTGAAATCAATGAAGATTGTCAGTACGAAGAATTTTTGATACATCAGAAAAGCTCAGCATCTCCAAAACCACTGTCGGCTCTACCATTTAAGTAACACTTTGCACAAATTGCACTGAGCTGTATCCAAATAAACCCATAGTTCTAAATGCAATTTTAATAGCCAAAAATATTTCAAGAGGTCAGACCATGGTTTCTTTTTGTGGTGTAAAAGAATAATTCCCTAATTTTCTATTAATAGCCCTCTGAAAGATGGCATTCTGCACTGAACTTGTCTTTGCCCTGCCTTGTGCCTCCCAGTCATGTCAGCTGACAAATGCCCTTGCTTCCATAAACTTGAGAAAGGCATATACACTTACTCAACAACTTACGGTTTCATTTAAGCACTGAGAAGAGCACAGCCGTCCTATTAAAAAAAGGCCTGTAATGCACTTCGTCCAGTTCTAACCTAGGATAAATCTATGGAATAGGGTAATTGAATTGGGTTCCTTTAAGTAAAGCAAAATGGACAAAAATGTGTATTTCAGCTTAAAAATACCTAGGTGAAAGACAATGTTAACACAGTTACTGAAACTAGCAATTGCCCCTCAGTTTTCCATCAGAGTTCAAACACTTCAGGGTAAGGTTTTGCCTTTGAAATAAGTTAATTAGGATGGAGAGGGCTATTTTTTATGAAGTGTCATAGAAAACTTAATTTTAAAATAGAGCAGCATTATAGCCTGCAGAATAATAGTCCTGTTCCTTAGGAGAGGTACATAAAGGCACATAAAGTACAGCATTTTACAGAGACCCTAGCTTCGACTCGGGTCAGACTTCCACTAAAGTGGAACCAGAGGAAATTTGCTGGCACATTGGTTTTCTTCTTTTCCAGACGGGAACGAAGATGAAAAGGTGATTATCAGAACCCCCTAATGCTGTAGCACTGTCCTTTGCAATTGTCACTGCAGAGCTGAGGAACTTGGAAAGGTTTTGTATACCCACAACAGCAGATGGGCTGTTTCCCTGGTGTATGGTATTACAGCCCTCTGTACGCGGGACTTCCGTGGAGAGAATGAAGCACAAAAGCTACCGTTAAGTTCAGTGGAAGCAACTGGGTCATCAGACTACAGTTTTGTATTTTCTCCGTAAGAACAACAGATTACATTTCTAATTTTCCATACAAAATTTTTACTGCTGTCATGTATCTATTTGGAGGAATGGAAACAGAGAATGGTGATTTAATGGTGAAGCACAGAAACATTAGCTAATTTGTAGTTCAAGCTCTACTTTTTGTTCTAAGTTTGAGTCATGCATCATTACCCAGTTTCTTTTGCCAACTGTTACTTTCTTCTCTGTCTAGTTCTCAAAATGGGTATTTAACCTTTTAAGATACTACTTCCAAGATACAACTTTTTTTTTTTAACCTATACTTCTACACTGCTGAAAAGATCTCAAATTAATAAAATGAAAGATTAAATGAAACATGATCCAGTAGAACAAAGTAGAAGCAACCAAATCTCTGGAGAATTTGTGGGTTTTTTAACAACATCAGGAAGTAATTACACAATATTTTCCAGAAGTGAAACAGTGAGCCTAACTGGAAAAAAATGTGGAAACATTTAGTTAGAACAGTAGAGCAAGGTATTAAACCCCCTTTTATGGATTTAACTCTGAAGGAAAATATGCAAATAATCAGGTCTTTAAATGTGTTTCTGATTACAATACTAGGATAAAAGTCAGAGGCATAATTTTGCATTTATTTTCCATGACAAGCAGCACTGTTTTCTTGTTGAATGATGTTCCTAGTGGTGAATGTCGCAGTGAATGAACAGTGTGACTCAATGACAAAAGCTCACTGATGTGCTTACAGGGTTCTGCCAGTGCATGTGGAGGGTTGGACATGCATTCTGCGTGTTAAATGGACTAATGATCACTTCGAACCTTACTGAGATTTCATCTTCTGTAACGATAGAAGGGGACCGAGGACATTAATGGGAGCGGGACTCAGTGAACCAAGACTCTGATTGTTCCCCAGCCCTTGCCTTAGCGGGATCAATGGCAGTTTGCAGCAAGGGAACCAAAGGAGCCCAGGGCACCTGCAGCAATGTTTGTATACAGCCGCTGGACAGGCCACTATGGAAGTCATCAGGTGCTCCCGCTGTGCTGCTCTCGGTACCCAGAGAAAACAAATGGAATGTGCGTGCGTGTGCACGTGTAAAGCAGTTTCAGTGCCTCTTCCCCAAAGACATGAAGATACAATGGCAGCAAGCAGAACTACGTAGAGTAACTGGAGGTCAGCACTTACAACTCATCTTGGATGTTGTCAGTCAGTTTGAACAGCTGTTCTTGTCCCTCTGCTTGACTTTCTAAATAGCGGGGCAAGAGCCCTTGAGGTCCTCTGCAGCAGCGTGGCTTTCTCACTCTCTCCGCTTGTGTCCTACATGCAATATAGATGCAGAAAAATGACTTAGTGCAACAGCAGCGCTTTTCCTTCCACTTAAACCTGTCAGCACACAAAGTTGTATTTATTTTGAAATACGAGGTGTGACAAAGCCTTTAAAAATAGAAGGTCTTCACAAATACAGCACATAGATTCTGTAATACTTGACCTGGAAGACATCGTGTCTATTCATATACCTTTACATTTCAAAGAAATGTCTCCCAGTTTTCCTCTACAATTAAGGGGCAAGATGCTAAATTAGGAGGAAGAGCAACCTAAACAGAGCATACTGGCTGCAGATTTTGGGATCTATTTATCAGCAGACTTTTACTGATTTGACTGTTTCTTCTCACTTCTCTACAGAAAATAAGAGTCCATCAACCTAGATAGAGCTCATGTTGATGAGTGTCAGTAGTTTGAAAATTGAAGGGTTATGGAAATAGGTACATGCAGTTAAGAAAAAAGAAAAATCCACAGTTAATTAGAGTTTCCATAGTCGGGTTTAGCATACTTTACCCTTCTTGAGCATCTATTAAAAAATGACAATAGTAAGACACGCGTGTGGCCTAACAGACATTAAAGGTTGATACTGGCCACAGTACTAAACAACTGCAGGCTAGGTTCCTCCCTTAGCAGTATTTTGTTAAAAAATAATACTCTGAATTCCTTTAAGCTTTTGGAATGCCCTACCCCTGAATAACTGTGTTACAGGCTGCCTAGCCCTACTTTATTCTCTGTCCTTTCCCAACATGATCACTCCGGGTCTGCTGCGTGTTTTTTCATCTCTCAGGCTACCGCTGTTAGTAATTTTCCAAGCCAAATGCACCATTTTTGATTAGTGCTCTCTACTTCCCATCTTGAGGCTTTGTAAAGATCCTGTGCAATGATCTGCTTCTATCCTTTTTGATGAAAAGACAGGAAAAAAATCCCATGAAACAATGCATTTTCTTTTTACGCTGCCTGGCAATAGCTCACAAGAGTACTTGTCTTCTAAGCTTTGCTTTCCGCAGATGTTTTCTCTGGAGCCTTGTTTCTTTCTTACCTTTCCCTTTCAGCAGTCCTGTCCCAGACTTGCAACCCAGGCACCCTTTTAAAATCGGTTTTCCTTCGAGTCTTTGACACCCTTGCCTTTTAATAGTGACAGACATGATTTCTGCCCCTTTCCCTTCAGGGCTGTAGTAAATGTTCCTGGAATGGAATCTCTTACACGCCATTCATGACTTAGTATCATCTTTGCTGCTCTCCCATCGGGTCACTGGCTCTCAGTGTGTTTTGGCTGTCATTGCTGTCTGGTATCAACAGCATACTTTGCAAACAAGGTGTAGAAGCCAAAGATACTGGCTTTCCAGTGCAGCAGAGAAAAACATCAGCCAATTTATATCTTTAATACATGATAACTATCTGGTGAGTTCTGAGTTTATTAATAAGATTATTACATCTCTGACCTGCATAACAAATTGCAGCGGCTCAGAAGTAGTGCTTCTCACTGATCCTCTTTGAGAGGAATTTCAGGAGAGACAAAAAGCTGTTGACTTCACTTCAGCTGAACTATGGTTATGCTAAGATGGAAATTCAGTTTGCCAGCAGGGAGGATGAAAGGAAGAGTGGAAATGCTTCAACTAAAAGAATGCAAAATAGAGCAGGGGCCTAAGAAAACATAACAAATGTTGTCATTAATAGTACCAGTAAAACGTTATCTGCCAGATTTTCAGCTTTACCTCTGCTGACAGATGTTCTCACTGCTTTACCTGTCCTGCTGCACTGCTTCCGCTTTTGGTTACATGTTAATTAATTTCAGTGTTACACATCCAAGCTTAAAAAAAGGCAGCATGAAAATTGCCATTTACTGCATAAAGGTACTTAGTTTAGTCCTTGTCTGCAAAAAGTGCAATGTTTTAAAACTGTATTTTTCTATTAGTAGCATTTCACTGAATCAGAATAGCCTAAACACTAGGTAAATAGGTGACTTCCCCAACCGAATAACAACTGTCTACAGTGGTTAGGACTTCACTATTAAGTACTATGAGTCTGGAGCAAGTCACCTTAGATGTTTCAGATATAAACAGGATTCACCTGTGCCAGGTAGTTACATGACAGTATTGTTACCCTTCTGAACCTACACCAGAGGTGAACAAGTAAGTGCCTGGTTTTACCTTTTAGATTCTTACAAAGCAGTAAACAAAAGTATGGGTTTGCCTTCATGAAGTGCAAAATGTTCCATGTTTTCATGAGGCAAAGTTCCAAAGAAACGTCCTACTTCTAACTTCCCAAAACAGTAAAATGGCAACATTTGACTTTTCCAAGAAGCCCCCATTGACTGTTAAACCTCCCTACAGCACCTGTAGCTTCTATTGACAAGTTTAAAGAGGGAATGTCTGAAGCATACTGTAGTTTGTCATTAACTATTGGCCAATCAATAACTTTTTACTGAGACACTTTCTATTATTCAAGAAAGTTAGATAACCATCCATATGGGAGTGAGCAGCAACACTGCATAATGGTTTTTACATTAACCATCTTTCAGATAAACATTCAACTGTGCTGTCGTCTTCTGTAGTACCATGAGAAGAGGTATCTGAACCATTGCAAGCAAGACTACTGTAAAAATGAGGACAGAACAGGCCCTTCTAATCAGACCTTTTCTGTAGAAACCAGAACATCAGTGAAGACTGGTTTCTAACATCTGGCTTAGAAGCAGATGAGAAAGTACAGGTATTACAAAAGTACCAGGCACCACAATGAATTTCTGGAAGGCTTGGCAATTTCTGAGTTGTGGGCTTGGATGCAGGTTGAGTTTAGGTTTTGTGTTTCTTTTTAAATGGAAAAAGTACTTGAGTACAGTGCTTACTGTCCCCACTGCTCCTCCATGCTAAAATGTTCATCCTGGTGATAAAAGGTAATTCTCATCTTGGTGATAAGAAGGTCAGCTGCTTTTCAACTAAGTGCCACTAGTGCTAGCACAAATTGCATTGATTTACTCCATCAGCCCCTTGGCAAATCGGTCTATTTGGTCTGGACAGCTAAAAACATTCCACACGACTTGATTTTTTTAATCTAAAAATTTGTTCTACTGTCTCAAGTTACGTTCTGTAAATAATAAGCAACGCTGATGAAATAGAAAAAGCTGAAGATTTGTAAAGCAGAATGAACGGTGGTGTGCCCACATCTGTGTTACATTAAACATGCACTCAACAGATTTGCTGATTCTTTTTTAATAAGCACACAAAGGCAATACAAGACAGAAATGCCCTCACGTCTACTAGTCACAGCAGGGAAGAGTGCTGCTGAATGAAGACACAAAGAGATTGGAAATGGTGTCAGAAGGTTGAGGCACACACTCCAGTTCCTCACTGTTCAAAGTTGAACACTGGAGCAGCTCTTTTCCGATGACTGTATGCACACTAAAAACAGTTAACAGTGTTAATTGGTTGGCTTTTGCTGAACAGTTCACAGAATTCTTGTGATTCAGTTTACCAGTTTTAAGCCAGGAGTTTTGTAATCAAACAGATCACCAACCCATTGATGTAAGGAAGCTGTTCAGGTATTATTGGTGATAATTATTTACCAACTTAGATTGAAAAAACTCTATGAGAGACATCACATGTTTTACAGAATTACTTTTATCCTTGTTCCTTCCCGTTAATCCCTGTCAGGTTTACGCTGTCGGGTACATAGATGTGATTCTTGCTGAGGTGCATAAACACACAGTGCTTTTGAGAATGGTAACTGTTACTCATCTTTGAGGGTCTTTCAAACCTAAAAAAATTCCCTGAAGTGTACCTAGATTGCTTTGACAAAAACATTGAAAAAAATAAAAATCAGAAGGTACCAAACTTTGATATCAACAGACGATGCGCTGGTGTGCAAATCAGCCCTCCAAAGAGATCTCTCTGGCCACAGGGCTCTCCCCCACACTCTCTAGTAGTAATTTTCTTCAGCTAGACCCAGTTCTTGCTGCCAAAAGTTCCAGCAACTGTCATCAATGTGTCGCATTCATAAAGGTGTTCCAGTTTAACAACCTCATCATTCCAACCCATTTAAAGCAGTAACTTACTGGTTCTGGTATAGCTCAAGTTCTGTCAGTGTTTCCATTGTAAACTTGTTTTTTCAGGTTTGCATAAAATTTATTGATAAAAGCCTGCTCTGGGCTGTAACTTGGCATACTGACTTTCAGCCTGGGAACAATTTTTATCCCCTTGAAATAATTATAAAACAACCTTAGTTCAAACAAAGGAAAATTGGCAGGTAATATAAGCCCATGAAACAGTTCAATTGCTGCTAGTATTTTGAAGAAATAATATCAAACCTGTTACTTTCTTGGCTCTGGAAAAAGTCTGCTTCATAAATACAGGGAGTGCTTTGTCTAAGGAGGCTTTAGTGCATTTCAGACATTAAGAAGTGACTTCATCTGCCAAGTTAAAGGAGGAATGGCCTTACATCTTCTATCATAAAATACACTACTAAAATACCTGCTACAGTTGCTGGAGTTCAGTACTGAATTGCACCTCCAGCCTTCCATAGGTATCACCATCACACGCACAAAACTTGCACAAAACGCAGAATGAAGACAGTACTTGTCCCAGATGTGTAATGGGAGGACACAGTGTAAAGTAAGTAGTGCCAGAATCAATTAAATGCTAGCCAATGTATACCTTAAAAATTAACCTAAAAGTTCAGCCATCACAACAACAACTACAGATGATGCAATCATACCACAGGATCATAAAGGTAACAAATGAAAACAAGCGTATGCCATTTCTGGTATGGTCTGTATTTCATATACACACCTTTGCAAAATACTAAAAATCCGCTATTTCCAGAAGTCTTTCCTCACTGATGTACGTACTTTGCTTCAGGTGTTGAAGCCTTGTACAGGCAGGAATGTCCCCAGCATTATAGAATCATAGAATGGTTTGGGTTGGAAGGGACCTTAAAGATCATCTAGTTCCAACCGCCCTGCTGCGGGCAGGGACACCCTCCACTAGCCCAGGTTGCCC